AACCGGCGAAATAAGGATGAGGATAGTAATAATAAAAAATCAATAAACATTTATTCGATACAGCTGTTTTTAATACATACAGTACATGGAGTTACCCCTCCGCGGTGCTCGGCGGCGCGGCTGATCAGAGCTGCTGTTACAGTACTCTCCAACTGAGGATTTTTTTCAATGATTAACAAAAGAACAGATCGTCACAAATCGGGAGTTTATTATAAGATAGTTTACTGTTAAAACAATTTTATTTTTTGCAAATAAACACTTTTTAATATATATATTTATATATTTATATATATGGTTACAAGTGATAAATTGAAAATTCTTTTTTTTTTTTAAATTTTTTTTTTTTTATTCTGTTTTCTTTTTTTCCCCAAAATACACTTATGCACTAATAACTGGCATCGACGAGAAACATTCGGATATGCCGTGGGATGGGTGTCGCCAGGAGAGAAAGAAAAGAACAAAAGGCTCCCAACCTTCCTGGGTGCAAGTGATGCTCCCCCCGGACCCGGTCCTGGCCCCCCGTCCTGGGGGGGGGTGACGGTGCCACAGCCCCCCTCGCCGGTGCACGGGGGTCACGGGGAGGGTTTCTGCCATCAAAGCTTTTGAGGACGGCTCGGTGAAGTGTCCTGTGGGGTTGCAGCCCCCCCCAACAGCCCCGACCCCACGGGGGTTTAGCCCTTTCCTGGGGGATGTGGGTGGTGGGACGGGGGGGTCTCTGCAGTGTGGGGGGCGTGGGGCCACCCTGTCATGGTCCCCAAGGGGCTGCAGAGGCAGGTGCCACCCCAGGGATGTGTAGAACTGCAGTCAAATTAGCTGCCACGCTGCCCCCCATGCTCTGAGCCCCCACACCCCCCCATTGACCTACCATGAGTGGGACAGGGGGGTGACACCACCCCCAAACACCCCGTGTCCCCCCCCTTTACCGGGCTTTACATTAACTGTAGGTCGCTCCCCGCTGCTGGAGGGGACAACCCTGTGGCTCAGGTCCCTGCCCAGTGCCAGGCCTGGGGTGGGGGGGTCCCATGCTGTCCGGCGAAATAAGGATGAGGATAGTAATAATAAAAAATCAATAAACATTTATTCGATACAGCTGTTTTTAATACATACAGTACATGGAGTTACCCCTCCGCGGTGCTCGGCGGCGCGGCTGATCAGAGCTGCTGTTACAGTACTCTCCAACTGAGGATTTTTTTCAATGATTAACAAAAGAACAGATCGTCACAAATCGGGAGTTTATTATAAGATAGTTTACTGTTAAAACAATTTTATTTTTTGCAAATAAACACTTTTTAATATATATATTTATATATTTATATATATGGTTACAAGTGATAAATTGAAAATTCTTTTTTTTTTTTAAATTTTTTTTTTTTTATTCTGTTTTCTTTTTTTCCCCAAAATACACTTATGCACTAATAACTGGCATCGACGAGAAACATTCGGATATGCCGTGGGATGGGTGTCGCCAGGAGAGAAAGAAAAGAACAAAAGGCTCCCAACCTTCCTGGGTGCAAGTGATGCTCCCCCCGGACCCGGTCCTGGCCCCCCGTCCTGGGGGGGGGTGACGGTGCCACAGCCCCCCTCGCCGGTGCACGGGGGTCACGGGGAGGGTTTCTGCCATCAAAGCTTTTGAGGACGGCTCGGTGAAGTGTCCTGTGGGGTTGCAGCCCCCCCCAACAGCCCCGACCCCACGGGGGTTTAGCCCTTTCCTGGGGGATGTGGGTGGTGGGACGGGGGGGTCTCTGCAGTGTGGGGGGCGTGGGGCCACCCTGTCACGGTCCCCAAGGGGCTGCAGAGGCAGGTGCCACCCCAGGGATGTGTAGAACTGCAGTCAAATTAGCTGCCACGCTGCCCCCCATGCTCTGAGCCCCCACACCCCCCCATTGACCTACCATGAGTGGGACAGGGGGGTGACACCACCCCCAAACACCCCGTGTCCCCCCCCTTTACCGGGCTTTACATTAACTGTAGGTCGCTCCCCGCTGCTGGAGGGGACAACCCTGTGGCTCAGGTCCCTGCCCAGTGCCAGGCCTGGGGTGGGGGGGTCCCATGCTGTCATACCCGGGGGTCTCCAAACCCCCCCCCAGGCACAACCCACCCGGCACAACCCACAGACAAGCAGGAGAGCAAAGGGTGTCTCATGGAGAAGGCGGCGGTGGGAGAACATACTCCTCTTGAGGGATGACTATTGGGGGAAAAACACCTTAAAAGGGGAAAAAAAAAAAAAAACTGAAGATTTCACTTTCTCATAAAAATCTCCGTTTGACCAAGGCGCTGCCTCTCCCCGCTCCGAGGGTGACAGGGGACAGCCCCAGGACCACTGTCCCCACCGCCTGCCCTGAGACCCCAGACCATCCCCAGGGTCCCCTCTGGGACGGTGTCACCCCTGAGGCCACCACAGCTGTCCCTGCTCCAGCCCCTCGCCCCTCCCAGGCTGCTCGTTTGGAGACACCTCGTTAACGAAGCAGCAGGATGGGTTTGGAGCCAGACCCCACAACGACCCCCCCCCCCAAGATGGCCCTTCTCCAGGTCTCCCCCACTTTGAGCACCTCCTGGCTCTCCCCCAGCACAGAGCGCAGTGCTGCTTGTTAATTTAATTAATGAGGAGCCAATTAATTGCATGTTAATGAGAACTGAGCCCCATGCAGAGGGAGGCAGTGGGGATTTTAAGGGGAATGCCCAAACCAGCAGTGGGGGCGATGCGAATCTCCCCCTCCCCGGGCCAGGGCACGGAGCTTTGCCAGGGGCTTTTCCCTGTGGTGGGATGAGATTTTGGGATCTGGCGGCTCCTTCCACCCCTGGGCAGAGATTTCTGCCCTCAGCTCTGCCCCGTGGGGGCGATGCGAATCTCCCCCTCCCCGGGCCAGGGCACGGAGCTTTGCCAGGGGCTTTTCCCTGTGGTGGGATGAGATTTTGGGATCTGGCGGCTCCTTCCACCCCTGGGCAGAGATTTCTGCCCTCAGCTCTGCCCTGTGTCCCCAGCTCTGCCCCGTGTCCCCAGCTCTGCCCGTTCTCCCCTTCCTGCCACCGCCTGCACCCCCTGAGCGTGGCCCAAGCACCCTCCCCGGGCGGGGGGGTCCCTCCTCGCCGCCCCCTCCAGTGGTTATTGCTTTGGGGAGGGGGCACAGAGCTCCGTGGGTCACTGTCCCCGTCCCTCGGGCTCAGCGCAGCGAAACGCCATCACCCAGCACAGTGTCCCCTCGTCCCCCTGGTGACAAAGACCCAGCTGGCTCTGAGCACGCGGGTCCTACAGCTCCCGAAGCTCCCCCTTCCCTGGGGAGGCAGGATTTGCACCAGCAACACCATCAAAACAAAGGCTGGACGGAACGCAAGCAGCAAACAGTCTAATTAAGCTTTCTGACTAATTGCTTCGAAGCCCAGCAGCCCCTCAGGCAGGTTCCCTCACCCACGGGCACATGCCACCAGGCGACGTGGATGGTGCTGCAGGACCACCAGCTCCTCCGAGGAGCCACCCCAGCTTCAGACCCCACCATCTCCTCCCTGCCCCCGCGGCCGCAATAACCTGCCGGTGGAGAAGGACGTTAATTATTACTAAGTGGCTCCTCGGAGCAGGGAGATGATGCCGAGAGCCTCCGGCGGGCGGTGAAGAGCAGCGAAGGAAAACGAGGGTTGAGGTTTTAATTGATTAAAGTAAAAGCAGAAGCTCTCCTCCCCCCCCGACGCCACCTTCCCAGCTCTGCACAGGGGAAAAAAAAAATAATATCCAATTAAGGGTTTCTTCTGTTTTGTTACCGAGAGAAAACGTGGCCATTTCCCAAGGACCGAGGTAGCCTGGTTTTTGTCTGGAGACAGACACATCCCGGTCCCGGGATGGCTCCCCCCAGGCCGGAGCGAGGTGTTAGGATGGTTTTAGTACGGAGCAAAGAAAAGCCCGGGGAAAGAGAAAAAGCAAGAGAAAGTCCACCGTGAAAGGACCCCCCCAGCCCCGAGGGAGACGGTCGTGGGCTTGGATGGATGCATCTCGAGGGGGTCCCAGCCCAGAGGGACGAGGCGAGTGCAACGTGCCCGAAAGCAGGATCCATGATTGTCACTTGATGCTGCACCCCCCGTCCCCACCACACACCTCCTGCAGCTGGAGACTGAAAACCCTTCCTGGATGAACAGCACCTTTGGGATGGGACGCGATGGGGACCCCGAAAGGCCCTTTCCACCACCAGCCTGACCCCCCCTGCTCTGTATCTGGCCGCATTTGCCAAAGACACCCCCAGCACCCGGGCAGTGCCACCACCGACCCTCCACGGCATTCCCGCAACCTTCAACCCTCCAACCTGACCCGTCCCTACAGCATCCCCCCCCTCTCCCACCAACTTCCCGGGGTGCTCACACCTCCTGCACCCCCTGTGCCACCTCAGGATGATGCTCTGCCAGCCCCGTGCCACGCTCCCTGCTACTTCCTCTCCCCATCTCACACCACCGAGACAAACCCCCGCACCCAACCGGCCACAAACACCACGGAGCCCACCCATCCCATGGGAGCAGGGTCCCGAGGCTGCAGGGAAAGCTCTACCAGGACCCTCACAGCGTCCACTGCCAGACCCTGCTGTCCCCAGCTGCTTGCCCAGGTGACACATCTTTGGGAACATCCCCCCGGGCACAGGGATGTGGGCACTGCCTGCAGCGGGAGGCTGGAGCCCGCCGGGGGCTGCCCGGACAGGCAGGGAGCAGGCATCCCCCCCCCCTGCCTGCAGGCAGCCACAGAGAGACCCCCATCCGAGGGGGCCCCCCCTGCTATTGCACTTTTCTTTCGCTCAAGCGTCACCAGTTTGGGGCAGGGAGTAAAAAGGGAAGTCACAGGGAGGGGGGTGGCGGCAGGGTGCCAGAGGGCAGGGGGGGTATGTACATGGGCAGGGGGTGGAGAACGGTCCAGCTTTGCTTGATCCTGTTTGTTTTCCAGTGTGAAACAAGGTCCGTGACTTGTTTAAAGTGGTTAATTGGTATTTTCTGTCTCTTTTTTTTTTTCTTTTTTTTTTTTTGACGGGGGGGCACAGAAAACTGGGAGAGACCCCCCACCCTGTTACCCTGGGCTGTAAACGAATCCTCGGAGACGAGTCTCTGAGCTGCTCATTTCTCGGGCATCTTGCTGGCTCCCCCCTTGCGCTGGCTCGGGGGCTTGGGGACACGCTCGTCCCCGTCGGGGCTGCCTCGGGAGCCTTCCCAGTGCTCGAGCGTTTTCTTGTGATTAGTCTTTGCTGCCACGTTCTCTCTGCCCTTCAGGGACGGTTCCGGAGGCCTCTCCTTGGGTTTCCTTCCCCTTTTCTTCCCGTTTGTGCTTTTCTTTTTCTCCTCTTTGCTAGAAGAAAGCTGTTCCCTGCTTTTCTTTTTCCGGCTGGCCTCTGCGGAGGTTCGGAACCAGTTCTGTCCAAGGAGGGGGGTGACATGGGGGGTTAGTGACCATCCTGGTGCCATCTGCCCCAGCCTGGACCACCCCGTGCCCCACTGGCATTGCCTCCCTGAGGACAAGCGGGCCAGCACTGAGCAGCTACAACCAGCCTGGGGGTGTTGGGGACTCAAAGTGGGACAGGGAGGTCCCCTCCAGACTGTCACAGCGTTGCTGATGCTGTGGGGAGCAGACAGGGATGGATGGGGCAGCCCGAGAAGGGGGGTGTTGGAGCAGGGACCAGCCCGGACCATCTCCAGCTGTCTCCTTACCTCCGAGTGAGCCTTGATGATGTGGTACTTGACCCCGCTTTCGGAGCTGAACTCCTTCTGGCACAGGAGGCAGCGGTACTTGCCCACCGAGTGGTCCCCCTGCAAGACAGAGCATCCTCCTGCAGCCCCAGGCAGAGCCAAAAACGGCCTGGGAGGGGGGTGGCTCCCCCCACCCCGTTCCCCTCTCTGTGAAGGGAGGTCGATGCTTGAACTTCAAAAAATACTCATTTCTGAAACGCCAGATCTCTGCCCGCCCTCAGTCCTGCGTCAGGAGCTCAGAACCACATCTTCTGCTCTGACTTTCAGCCACTGGTGCCAGGCATCAAAGGTCCTGTGAGCTCGGAGGGCAGCGGGTGGCAGGTTTTACTGCCTGTGCATCCCCAGCACCGGTTGTTACAGTACCACCCACACCGTGTGTGTCCCCAGGCACGTGGGAGGCTGACGGGGCTGGTCACACCGTTTCCTGGCCATCAGCAGATCTGCCATCTCCCGGGACTGAACCACCACCTAATTGATGTCCAAAGGACTCACCTAATTTTCCTTTTACGCTGTCAAAGAGACGCAGCGACTGCTGGATTCCTGTCATTACAGCCCCGTGGGGATGACTGATCGCCCGGCTCTGCCGCAGTTCAAGGCACAGGAGAGATAACGTGCTCTCTATTGACGAGGGGTTTATGGATGGGCCCCTCCAGGCGATATATATGTTCCCTGGGAATTTCTCCATAGCTGGCTCCAGGCTGTAAATCTGGAGTCAGACGGGTCTTTCATTTCAGGGACAGGCAGGACGAGGGGGCAGGCCTGGTTTCAGAAATACTCGTGCAAAGATCCCCTCAGCGCATCAATCCCCGCCGGGGCTGGGGCACTGCCTGGGAGCATCTTCTGGTTGATGTATTTCAGCCATCTCAAGGAAATACATCAACTGCATCCTCCGGTTGATTTATTTCAACCACTTCTGCGGGGTTTTACGGCAGAGATCACAGGGCAGGTCAGGAGGGGCCGTGCAGGACACACCACATTTGGTGGGACACGTATCCATCGTAAAACTAAACCCTCTGGGAGGGCAAGAGTCCTGCTGGCTGCAGTGTGGGGGGGACACGAAGCAGCAAACTCAACCCCAAACACCCAGCCCCGGCTCTGCTGGACTCGCTGGGCCTCCAGGGTGCAGCTCTGCCGTGAAAGAAAACACTCGTGCAAATGCCTGGCTGCTTTCTGTGCACGGTACCGGCCAGAAAATGGCTGTGTTGTCTCTCAGAGTCCGTGCTAGTGAAGGAACTGCCCTCATCTCCTGTGTTTGCACTTTTGTCCTGCATAAATACAGCTTCTCCTGCCGGATCTCTGCAGCCCATTTTCTAAATGATCTCATTAGGGGTTGATGTTCCAGCTTGTGCTGGAGGAGCGCGGGAGTTTGTGTTTTTAATAACCACGGGGTATGGATCGGAGCTGCCTCCTGGAAGCTCCATTCAATGGGAGCTGCAGCTGGAAACGTTTCAGGGGTAGAAAGCTTTACCAGCTCATACTCCGTTCCAATTTGAGGGACCTACGCTGAGCTCCCGATCCCTCCCCCGCAGCGGCTGCGGGGCCACCAGAGCTCACTGCAGCCTGCAGCATCACTGCTCCATTGAGCGAGAGGCCACCGGTCTCTGCACAGACCTTCTGCCTCTCCCAGTCTCAGCTCCAGCCCCTGGAAGCACCACACCAGTGTCCCTCCAGCTGGGGAAGCTGCTGAGCTTCCAGAAGAGCTGCAGGGCTGCCCAAATCGGTGGAGAAAGTCTCCCCGATTCCAACCTGCCTTGGGAAACCTCCAGCTTCCGACGCTCAGCTCCTTGGCTCTGAGCTGCTGTGGTCAACGTGTGGCTGCGTGCGAGGTGCTGGGTAGCCAAGGGCTCGTGAATGACTTGGGGACTGCAAGAGTCAAGCTGGGGGACGAGGACACCAAGGTGGGAGGTTGTGAGGCAGAAGGGCTCGCTCCCGCTGTCCCTTCTCTGAAGGACTCAGTGTGTCTGAGGTCTGGGCCCTTGGGTGAGACATTTGTGTGGCAAGACCTCTCCTCCAAAGCTGGGGGGCAGCTAAAGCCCCTCCATCCCATCTGCTCAGCTCCAGCCTCTCCGTCTGTGGCTGTGGGTTTGATCCTGCCCAGGAAGACGGTGCTGAGGGCAAGTGGCTGGACCGGGATGGTGTGACGATGGGCTGAGTGGTGACAACTGGATGGGCAGTGGCATTGCTTGGCCAGCCCTCCTGGTGGTCACAGTCCTCTAACCTGTACCATTGTCCCTTGACCTGTTGCTTCCAAACGAGCCAGGGGGGAGAGGAAACCAAACCCCAACTCTACCTTCGAGCCAAGACCATAAAAACAGGGACCTACCTTGTTGCAGTTGGCCAGGTGAGCTTTCAGCCCCGAGACGCTGGAGTAAATGGCTTCACAGCACTGTGGGAAGAGACAAAGCAGGGTTTTGATGATGCCATGATCCCCCCCACCTCGTCTCCCTGCCTTCCTCCGTGCCGGGGCCAGGAGCCCGCTGTGTCAAGGCCACCGGTCCAGGCTGAGCAGCGTGAGGCTAATGCTCTGCGAGACGCGGAGGGCTCCGGTCACACGTTTCCTATTAGTGCTAATGGGAGTCATGTGGCCACATCCCTCTGCCACGGGCTGAAAAATGTCTCCCCGAAAAATGTCTCCGTGGAAAACGTACATTTGTGAGGAGTCGGGAGGTTCCTGCTGGGCTACAGGAGTTCTTGGAGCCACAGCAGACGCTTAACGGAGAAGAGAAATCACCCGGGCAGCAGCATGACCAGTTTGTGAGCAATGTCTTTTCAAAGTGCCTGTGTATGACATTAATTAGGCAGCGCGTCTCCCCCAGCCTTGCGGTAACAGCCCCGCTCAAAACTCCCATTAGCAAGGCTTTGTTTCAGATGATAAATCAACAGCCCCAGCACGAGGGTGGAGTTCACCTCCCCGCGAGCTCAGGCCAAGGCTGAGCTTTACAGGGAGATGAAGCACACGCACCACGGCCCCGAGGTCTCTGCCTGTCCCAGGGCTGTAAAAAAAATACCAAAAAAAAAGGCTTAAAACCAGCTCCGGCTTTACCCTGGGAAAAGCAGGTTCTCTGCATAAAAAGGCTCCCAAGAACAGAGCGTGGAGCCTTTGTCCCATCCGCACGCTTCCCAAAGGCAGCTCCAGAGCCCAAACTGGGCAATGCTGAACTCTCAGCCCAAGGTCACCTGGGGAAAGGGTGGCCCGGTCCCCAAGCCTGGTGGCTTGAGCACACCAGGAGGGTCCCAAAGGTGGGACACGCTTCAACCAGGCACGGCAGCAACCCCAGGGAGAGGAGGTGAAATGAGGGTCTGAGCATCACTGCCAGCTTCATCTGGGGCACAAGAAGAACCTGGCTTTGGTGGGTTTCTGCCCCAAAACTTCCCCTTCCTCCTGCAGACCGAAACCAACCAGCCCAAAGAAGAACAGACACGGTCCTTACGTTGTTGGGACAGTTGATGCGGCCCTTCTCCTTCACTTCATTCTTCCAGTTTTCCAGCAGCCTGGGATTGAGCTTTGGAAGCCCCGGACGGGTGTAATTGAGCTGCAAACAATAGAAGAGGATTAGCAGAGCGGCACACACCAGTCCGGTCCTTGCTGGAGTCCTCGCTCTTCACATGGCTCTTGTTCCCCCCGCCCCACAAGGAGAAGTGAATCGGAGCTGAAAACTAGTTGGGAGGCTTCCCCCAGAGATGTCATCTCCCCCCACCTGGGCACCACACAGCAGGGGGGGTGGCTCTGCCCCGCTGTGCCACCGGCGAGGTGACAACTGGGCTGGAGGGTGGCTGTGGGCAAGGAGCAGGGCTGGAGCCCCCAAAACAGGAGAGGGGAGGCTCCTGCTCCCAATCCCGGGTCCGTGCCCCACGGTGGGGGCCAGGCCCGGACCCGGCGTTTTCGGTACCTGGTGTTGGCGCGGCCCCTTCTGCCGCGTTTCATAACGGGGAGAATAAACAACCCCGCACGCTGGGCAGGGGGGACGGACGCCAAGAGCCTCCATGGCTGCCTTCCACCCATGAATGGGCACAACCCGCCGAACAATGAAAGGCTCTTGTGTCTCTGCCTCTCCTTCTGGCAGGGCTGCTCTTTCCAAGTGCTTTTAATTACCGCTTTATTAACGACTTTGAGGTTTTAGCATAGCGGACCGGCCTTCCCAACTCCATTCCTGCATGTTCAGCACAAGAAAAGGCGGCCGTGGCATCTCCTCTGCCTCGCAACCGCCGTCCTTAGCCCTACCTGAGGTCCTTGCCTGGCACCTGGGCAAGGTCCAGAGGGGACATGGGCCATCTGAGCTGCCTGCCCACTACACAACCACACCAGCACAGCTCCAAGCCCGACCGATGGACGTTCCTTGGGCCCCACACCTCAAGTGGGAGCAGGGCTGGGTGAGCTCACCCGTGGCACAGACAGGACGTGGGTACCCCAGCACGTTCTGCATCTCCGAGCGCAGGACACGGCTGCATCATCGCATCCGTGCTGGCCAGGGAGGATGCACAGACAAACAGCATTCACAGAGAGGTGCAAACCCAAGTTCTGCTTTTGAAACCTCCCCCAAGGATGCAGAACTCAGGGTTCTGACAGGGCAGGGAAGGGGCTGGCTGGATTTCTTACCCCGCTGTGATTTTTCCTGTCTGTGCTGATAAAACTGCAAATTTGCCTTTGTCCGGCTCTCCCGAACAGGCTGCTCCCAAACTTCCCTGCAACGGGGAGCTCCCAGTGAGGGTGCAGACACCACCACTCATTTCCACTCAAATTTAAGCCATCCACAAGCCCCCGCAGCCCCCACCTTGGCACGTGGCGGGGCACGGCCAGAGGAGAAGGGAGCCCGGGCAGAGCCGGGCTCCGTGCGAGGGACAGGGCAAAGGGCCTTGAGAAACAGCCCTACGGAGGCTGGTAAGGACGGATGTGGAAAAATCCCCCGAGTCCCAGCGTGCTGCTCTTCTGTCAAGCTTCACAGCTGGGGGAGATGCCAGCAGAGCTCTTTGAAGCGCTGGGATGGTGCATCTACCAACCGCTTGGTCCCCCGCCCGGGGAAGGCAACGCCACCTCCGGGGGAGAACACAGGAGTCCCTTTTTGTCATTGATACTGAGAGCTGAGATGCCAAACGGCCTCCTTCATTAAAAACCAATCAATCCCATGAACGAGCAAACATGAACGGTAACCGCACACAGCCCCAGCAACAACCTCTCCCTCCGCGCGTCCCCGGGGAGGAGACGAGGGGGGATGTTCAGAGATGTGGACTCCGCTGCTCCGGCTTCTCACTCCAGAGAAAAATCCCTCCCCGCTCTCCTCCAACAGCCCTGCACAATAACATGCAAATCCCATGTCTTCCCGGGGCGCTGCGGTTCGGGGAATGTCAAAGTCATCTTTATGTCTCTATTAAGAGGGAGCCCCAGGCATGGAATATTTTATTTTTTTCTTCCATTTATTTTCCTCAAACAGCCTGTAAGTGAAAATCTTCATGGCCAAATCATTAAACGACTACAACTGGTTTTGGCCGCAGCCCATCTCTTCTGAACAGTCGAAGGATGCCGGGGTGGGAAGGCTTGTTTTCTTTGACTGACAGTTTTATTTAATTAAACTTTCATATTTCAATCCTCTCCGCTCCCTAGACAGCTCTCCCCTTCCCCAAAATATATCGCAGTAAATGAGAACCATGCGGGCTGCCTCAACCCTGGCCAACAAACTCCCCTGGAAGCTTCACCGAGGTCCCCAGCGCGAGGCACGGCTCTCCCATCGCCCCGCGGAAACCAGGGCTGATGCCGTCCGGGAGGTGAAGCCAAAACACACCCCGGGGCTCTGGATGGCAGCCGGGTCCCATCTGTGGCTCGGGGTGGCTGGGTCACACCACGCCGGAGCTGCCGAGCGAGGGGCGGAAGGACGGACTCAACCCTGCTGAGATCCGGGTCCACAGCCGGAGCCGGGATCTGGTTTGGCCCATCAGTGACACGAGTCCGCAGGGCTCAGCCTGGCTCCCGCCCGGATCGCAGGGCCATTGTTTTTGGGGACAAACTCAAGCCAGGCTCTTCTGCTCTGGAATTTACCCTGGTTCCAGCATGGGTTTTCTTAAAAACTCCAGCTTGGAGACAACTTTTCCCCTTTAGCTTTATGGCTGGCCTCTGGCAGCCCCTCACTCCGGACCCCGTCACCCTGCCACGCAGCACCGGGGCTCCACGGGGATGTGCAGCCTCCGTGGCTGTCCCCGGCCCTGCAGCAACACCCAGACCCTGAGCTGTGGGGCCAAACGGGGTGCCCTTGCACCCCACAGACATTGATGAGCTCTGCATCCCTCTCTGCCTGCACGGGGGCTGCCAGAGCCCACCATCACCACCTCCGGCACAGAGCTGGTGGCACTTTCAAACAAGCCACCCCACCTCGAGCTCCACAGGGAAAGCATCACACCACGAAACCATGGTGTTTTCTCCCCTCTTGCCTCCTAGGTACCTCTTCCCTCTGCTTGACGAGGCTGTTTTTCTCTCAGTCCAGCCTCCAAAATGTGTAAGGCCATCAGGGTATCATCCCCTGCCAGATCCCAGAGCCCACCACAGCCTGCCCACACCACCCAGCTGGGAACCTGCCGGCCTCTCGCTGCTTCTTCTGCAGCCCCAAGGCTGCTCACGGGCAGGCAACGGCCCCAGCGAAGACCAGAGGAAGGTCGGAGAATCGGCATCATCTTCATGGAGCTTCTGGAAAGGGGATTTTTCCCAGAAAAGCAGCAGGGGTGTGCCCTTCCCCATCTGACATCCCCAGCAAGCGGCCGTTGTGAAACACCCATCTGTTTCAGCTTATCCAGAGGCAAATAAAGATCGGAGCGAGAAAATAAGGCTCCAGTGTATATTTAGAAATGCTGGATTTGGTTAGCGCAGAATGAAGGCAGCGCAGGGCCTGGGACCGAGCAGCAATCGTTTATTCTAATGCCATTGCTTTGGTGCGAAGGAATCCGTCCTCCCGGGGAAAGGCAAATGCATCCCACCGCGGGCCACCAACGGGATCCAAACCCCAAGTCCCTCTCGCCAGCTGGGACCGGCTGCCACGTGGCCACGAGGGCAAGCCATGGCGCAGGGGCTGCAGCGGGGCCACGTATCCCTTGGGCTTGCTGAGAAGTTGCTTGCCTTCCCCTGGGGAAAAGCTTTGCTGCCTGGAGAAGGGATGGAGAGGAGGGGTGGCTTTCTTCATCAGCTCCCTGGAAATCCACGTTGACTGCTGGGACCATGGAGGGTAACTGGAGAGCTTGGGGACAGAGCGGGTCCTGCGCTCAGCAAGTCCAGGTACATCCCGCCATCCCTGGTTACAGAGCAGAGCTGGGAAGTGTCTGTTCCTCTGGGATCTTGGAAATTCCCAGGTATAGCTGAGATGGTGCAGGAACAGTTGAAATCTGCTGCCCATCCCTGACATCCCACCTCTCTCCAGGTCCAAGCCAGCGAGGGGTCCTGTGGGTCCAGCATCGCACTCCCGATGGCTGGATGCGGCCCGTGGGAAGAAAGTGGCTCTTCTGGGGACCATCAGCCCCACTGCCCCAGTCACGGTTAATGGTGTTTGTCTTCCTGCTGCTCTGGTGACTCCAGGCTGTAGCTCCCTCGGAGGGACGGCCACCACACAGGCTCGATGGGGCAGTGGCACGGGGACGCGGGGACGTTGTCCGCTCTTCTGAGCCTCCCGTGCTGCCTGGGGCTGGACCCACCACCGAGCTGTCCTGCCAGCACAGCCCAAGCCAGTTTGGAGGGAAGGGCTATTTTGGGGGCTGTAAAAGGGTCAAACTGGGCACTTCCTGGTGCCTTTGAATCTCTCCCAGTCGGGAGGGGTTTTTCTCCACACCCTGAGCTGAAGCAACTTGTAAACAAAGAGCGGTCCTGAGCGACGCAAGACGCTGCTCAGCGGAGCAGCACAGAGCGTGCTGAAGTCAGCAAGCTCCCACCAGCCTCCCCAGGCAGAACCTGCCTCCCACCTCCTTCCAGCATCGCTCGTCGAGGGAGAAAAAAAAATGTCATAGACCGAACAGATTACATTTTAGAGTGTTGTCAAGGGAACGTGACAGTTACTGCAAGACGCGCCCGCAGGCACGCTCACAGCTACGAACGTGTGCGCCCACTGCGCTGACCTCCCCCAAAACCCATCTGTGCGACACACGGGGGGCACAGCCAGGGAGAGCCGCCCCCGCAGGGACCCGAGGTCCCATCCTCCTGCCCAAGAGCCTTGTTTTGCCACCCGGGAGCCGGTCCAGCTCCCCACCTCGCTCAGCTTCAAGGCAAACCTCTTCCCGCCAACCTCACAGCGATTCTCTTCGCTCCTTAGCGCAGAGATGGGGCTCAATTAAACCTAAACAATTAGACTCCGAACGCAAGAAATGTCTCATAAACAACCCCACCACCACAAACAGCGTTTCATGAAGCAATTATGCCAGCAGCTGAGACCTTTACTATGCCTTTGAATGTCAGCTGGCACATGGACCCCTTGTCCCGGCCTGAGACTCCGGGCTGCTCCCTCAATTCCAACAGAAAATACCCCAAGTCAAAAGTAAGGGGAGCAATTCAAGGAGGAAAGAGAGGAATGCGAGTGCCGAGGCTGGAAAGGGGAGAAGGGAGCACCACACCTCTCCTCCCACACTATTTGAAATGAAACAGCTACTTTGGGCTTGATTGTTTTACGTTATAAAACGCATTGCAGCTGAAGTCATCTGGAAACCACCATTACCACCAAGCATTGGGGAAATAAAAAGTTTGCAACAAGTTCTGGCCCTAAAACCCCCAGCTCAGCCCCAAGGCAGATGGCAGCACCGTGCCTGGATCCCCTTCTGTGCCAGTCACCTCACTGAGATGCCAAGGAGGGTAAAGAAGATGCTGGTTTGTTTGTGTGCTGGTTTTCCACCTGCCCACCGCCTGCAGACTGGGAGCTGAGCCAGGCTGAGCTCCTCCAGGTCCCTGCAGGACGATGGTGGCACTTCTGAGAGCACACGTGTGCCAGGACAGCACAGGACAGGCTGTGGCAGCGGGAAGGCACTTCAGCTAAAGCTCTGCTGTTCTTCCACCCATTTTCCTGGGACAATCTGCATCACTTCTCCAGGCTGGCTCTGGGACTCGGGCTGTTTTCCTGGGTCGAGGCAGGTCCTTTGGGCTGGGGCTGTCCTGTGCTCTGCTCATGGCAGAGGCATCGCCACACTCCTGCTGGGGCAAAGCTTCCTCTGCTCCTCACTCCCATCCTTGCAACGTGCCCAATATCCTGCCAGGGTGAATTTTGGAGGACTGGACAAGAGATGCCCAACCATTCAGAGCAAGGAAAAGGCCTGGTACCCAACTGCAACGTTACTTGCTCAAGAAAAGGCTGCAGCCTGGGCAGAGATTTGCAGAACAGCTCTGCGCAGAGCCCCAAAAAAGTATCGACCACAGGATTAAAAAACTCCAACTCCCTCTTTTTTTTCCATTTACACTGAAAAGGTTTATGATTTACTGCTGCTTCCTTCCTTTTACGGTCCAGAAGGAGTGTTCCTGGAGGGAATTTCAGCTTTGGGACGTTCCCAGGAATCACCTCCTCCCACAGCGGGGAGGGATGTTTGATTTAATGTGTTACTCCAGTGCCTCCACGGAGCTCAGGACTGCCAGGGCACTGACTTTCGCTGCGCAGACCCCACAGCCGACATGTGTGTCGCTGATGGGGACCACGGGGCTCAGCCCTGCCTCCCCTGGGGACCACGGGGCTCCTGCCTCCCCTGCTGGGGACCACGGGGCCCAGTCCTGCCTCCCCTGGGGACCACGGGGCCCAGCCCTGCCTCCCCTGGGGACCACGGGGCTCCTGCCTCCCTGCTCTGCCTTCCCCTGCTCCAGCGATGCTGCAGGCTCTGCACCTCCAGGGAAGCCCAGGAAAAGAGACATGGAAGGGAGGAAATTCCACCTGGGGCATCTTTGCTCTCTCACAGTGCAAAGGAGATCATTCCAGCTCCCACCTCTGCTCTCCTCACGTGCTGCTCTTGGCTGCCAGCTGCTGCTTCACTGCTGAGAACCCACCTCCCTCCACAACATCCTCTGGGCTGGACTCTGATCTCTCCACTACCCACAAAGCACCACCTTTTGCTCCATTTAAATGTGGGTCCTGGCAGTGGAAAAGGCAAATCTGGCAGCTCCTGGGCTTGTACAGAGCCTCCAGGACCACTGGAGCTCAGCCTGTGCTGGGTGGGCTCTTTAGCAATAAATTTGCCATCGCAGCTAATTGATTTAAGGCACAGAAAATGAGACACATGAGCCCTCAGCCAGCTGGGGCCACGCTGGCATCCCGGGATCGCTGTGTACAGCGAGTGCAAAGAAAAAAGAGAAATAAAGGCTTCTCACCCGCTTTGTTTCAGGCACCAGGTCATCCTTCATCCTCCGCTTGGTCCAATCCCTGGCGAGCTCGTCCTCTGCGATCTCCTGAAGGTGGAAAACGGCTACTTGGGCTGACGTCCGACGGATGCGGCCGCTCGGGGTCCTTTCAAAATCTTCTATGGGGCCAGGCTCTGGCTTCACCTCTGGCTCCTCCGGCGGCTGCGAGAGAGATGGAGTCAAAAAGAGCACAACAAGGGGAGAAGATGTGAGCTCTGGGGGGTGCTGGGGGGATTTAGGATGGGTGTTTTCAGACCTGCCGTGTGCATGGAGGGGCTGCAGTGATACCCACGTGCCTCTGTCCCTGAGCATGGGAACAAGGGATGCCCCCCCCCGCCCCCCTCAGCCCAGCAGACAGCCGGGCGTTGGACTGATTGCATCCTGTCAACGCTCCCACGTGTATAAACATCTCCATTTATTAGAGTTAGGGAGTTATTAGGGTTGGATGCACTGTCAGTAGGGATCAACAGAACAGAAAAGGACGCTCCCCAGGGATGGATCCTGCCACCCCAGCCCTGGCAAGCAGCCGGTGCCTGCTGAGCTCTGGTTTTACTCCCTGCAGAGCACGGATACGGGCTGGGCTGGAGCACAGCCCCGTGGACACCAAGGAAAGGGAACGCTGCTGACCACTCCGCTCTGATAAAGGCAGCATCCTGCTTTTTGGGAGGGGTGGAGGGGGCTGTAGCCCATTTCCCACCCAACACACACGCGTGGTGATGAGAGGGAGAAGGAAAAAAGAACATCGGTCCGATGTCTGCACCTGCCTTGCCTGGCACGGCCCTGCCTGGCTCTGTCCTGCCCACGGGCTCTGCAGCTCCGCTGTCACTCCCCGGGGGGGATGGCCCTGCTCCTCGGGCTGCGGAAGCATCCGGGGGGCTCACGGAGGCCGTGTGCTCTGACCGCACGTGGTAATCATGACCAGCCTTGGATTTGTACTTCTTGGCGCAGTGTGGGCAGCTGAAGACAGGCTTGTCAGCCTCAGCGAGCTGCTTCCCACACCGCTTCTGGTGGTACTGGTAGCCCATCAGGCTGGAGAAGTTGGCCACGCAGCCCTATGGAGAGAAAGGGAGGGTTAAGGAGGGCTTGGGGCTTCATGTCCCCATGATAAAACCATTCAGGGTGCCATCGCTCCAGGGAGAAACACATCCCGAGGAGCCCCCTCTGCAGAGCCCGGCCCCTCGGAGTGATGGGGGGTCACCAACCAGCCCCTCTTCCCCAAAGAGCCATGCACAGACACGACAGTGCCACAGAGGGACAAGGGGACAGTCCCCGTCCCCGGCGCTACCTACACACCGACAGAGCTCCCCGGACAGAAGCACAGCAGGCAGCAGGGGGAAGGCATTGGGGAGGCACTGCCAGCGCAAAGAGTAAAGCACCCGCGGGGACAAACCTCTGCCACACGCCCCCGTTACCCGTTGGTGACTTGTCTGCAACCGGCTCAGGACTGTTTTTCGGTGGGGTTTGGTTCAGTTTTACGCTACGCACGTGCCAGTGCCAGCTGTGCCCCTTCCTGGCTTCAGGAGGCAGAACCTGCCCTGCAGCGCTCCTCAGCCTGCCCTGTGCCCACCCTCCCGCTGGGATGGCCCATCGCTGGACGCACGGAGCCAGGGATGGGGACCAGGGTGGCTGAGCTATGGTAGAAAAGTCAGGAGGAGGCCAAGAGATGCCTGGAGAGCGTGCATCCCCCTCTGCTTCAGGACTCACTCCTTCCACCTTCTCACAGAACGAGAAACAGGAATCGTTCTCGTACCTCATTGGGGCATTTCAGTTTTCCCATCTGCTTTAGCACTTTCCTCAGCCTTTCCCGCTCTTCCTGTTCACCAAGTCCAGCGGTTTCCACAGGAACAGGCTGGAAACAAGCAAGTAACAGAAGCCACAGAGTCAACCATTTACTCATGTCCTCTGTGCCAGGAGTGGGTGGTAAACCTCTGCCCCGCAAGAGCTGCCCTTGGCTGGGGGGATCCTCTCATTAGAAGAGCTGGATCTCCCCCAGCTCGTGCTTTTCCTGTGTTTGCACCCAAAGGGCCAGCTGAGAAACCCAGGAGCAGTTCCTGCACGGAGGGTTCACCAGCCAGACTGAAGAGCAGGAGATGAATGCACAGGTAAAAGACAAGTCACAACTGGTAAGCACGGGACAGGTAGAAATGTGGTTATGCCTTGCCCTGGTATCTCAGATGTGTATGTGACTGGATTTTTAAGAACAGCATCTGAATCGGTGCCTGCCAGATTTTATTCATGATAAATTTTGCGACTACTTCTCACACGCTTGGTGGAAAATTAAAAGACTGGATTTTGAGATTTGTGCAAGGCAGAACCCATCAGTCCCGGATTTGTGGGAGCAGTTTTGGAGGGCAGAGCTTTGCCACTCAAAACCTGCCTCACCGTACTCACCGAATCTTCCCCCGTCCTGAGATTTGAAATCCTGTTTTATTTTTCCAGTTCTCTGCTCTATTATTAGGGATCAACACGAGCCTAACTAGCTGCCAGGGAAGGAACGGCTTTGTTCGGCAGGGAAGGGGGAAAGCTACTGTCTGGACTGAGCAGTAAGTGAAATGCTGCAAAGCTGGCATTGTGAACCCCTTCTTTGCAAAGACGGGGCACCCACTGCTTCGCCTTCTGCATCTGCATCGAAAAATGAGGCGCGGGCCGAGAGCAGCCCAGCTCTCTTACCTTGCTGACGTGTTCAGCCATGGTGTGGTAATTCAGCCCAGCTTTGGACTTGAACTGTTTTTTGCAGTGCTGACACTTCAAGGCATCCTGCAGCTGAAGGAATTAGAGGGAAGTCACCGCGGAGGCCACGCGTCACCGTTCGCTTTTCCACTGGCTGCTGCTCATCCATCACCCCCACGGGCAGCCGTGGCTGCAGCTGTACCCAGCGGTGGGATCCAAGCAGGCAACACAGAGTCCCTGTCCCCCATCCCAACCCCAGCCTGCAGCTCAGAGCTTTCTCTCTGCTGTCCTGGATATTGTTATCAAACCCACATGCCCAATTTTTGGAAAATATTCCATTTTGGATGTAGATTCAAAGCCCCACTGGCTGGAAACATCTGGACCTGGTGTCTCAGTCTTCCTGTTAAAGGGTTAGGAAAGAGGAGAAGCTTTGATCTACCAACATGTTAGCGGGCTGTGCTCTGCAGCCCTATTAACTCTGACAGATGCTGGCGTACGATACGCTTTCTGGGCGCCTGGGCTGTTTGGAATTAAGAGGCTGCTGGACACGATCAGAGCAGAAGACTTCCCGGTTCATACCGCTCTGCTGTTTGACCCGACTTGGCCTCCTGAGTGACTGAGGGGATGCATTAAATGCACACACCGAGGTACAAGGGGAACCTGCAAAGTGAGTAAGCAAATTGTGACTTGCTGGGGCAGGTACCAGAGTTTATTGACTGAGGAGGTGAACGCTCTGGGAACCAAGAGACAGGATGTCTCAACAGGGAGCCGGTGCCTGGATGGCTGCGGCCGTTCCTGCTCCTCCTGCCTGGCTGGTGCTCCACCTTCACCACTTCCCCTTCCATCAAGCCTGGACTAGAAGCTGGAGAGGGAATGAGGATGGAGCTGCAAATCCTTCCTCATCCTGGAGCTCTGGGGAAACGAAGAATAAACTCACTGCAGGCAGTTGGGATTGTCTCACTTGTACCAGAACTTGTTCCAGAACCCAAGCACTTCACCCTAACAAGGTGGATGCTAAAAGCTTGAATCATCAGACACCAACATCAGCCAATTTGGGGTTTACTCCTCCGGTCAACACTGAAGAACACGCAACGTCCATATTCTAACAAGCCCTCTCACCTGGGATGCCAGGAGGATATACCTGCCCTCCTCTTCAGGCCCAAGCACATTGCAACCATCCCCAGCCCTTATTTCCTTTCCAATACCAAAGGAAACAGACTGCTCAATGACAAGCAAGGAATGGAGAAACCAATTTCTGTTGCTTTATAAGAGTTTTGGGAGCCTGCACATCTGTTTTCCCATTGTCCAGCTAAGAAATACTTCAGTCATTAAAGCAGAGAGCAAGCTCAGAAGGTGCCTGCACCCCAGGGTCACTTCTGATGGGGAAATATAGTGGCTACAGCAGCGGGACCTCGCCAAGGATGGGCCACAAGCTCATCTCGGAGATGAAATGCTGAGATGATTCACGTACCCTGAGCGTGGGGACTGAACTCCCTGGGCCTCAGGCTGCTCTGTAGGGATGCTGCAAAGCAGCCCAGCTCCTGGTGTGGCACGGCCAGCACTAGCAAGGACCCCTCCTGGGGAAGGGTCACAAGAGCGGGAGGTGACCTCCTCTTGGGCTAGAGCCCCGATTCCTGGGCTGAACTTCCACTGGCTTATTTATAGTGGAGAAGAGAGCCCTGGCTGCTCCAGCAGAGCCCTGCTCAGTGGGCTACTGGCCACTGTGCAGCCTGCGTGGAGCCTGCCTGGCCTGGGACACGCTCCAAAGCACAGGAGATATGAGCAGTGACGGCCAAGATCCCCGCTCCGCTGAGGCCAGGAGGACGTCAGAGGAGGCAGGATTCTGCCCCGCATGGATGTAGTAGAGGGTTTGAAAGGGAGAGTAGCCTCCCACTGCTGTATAAATAGTGAGGCGAAGGCTGAGGAGGCATTTACAGAAAATGAATGTGGAATCAAAGCCCAGCCACATATTTTCAAAGCGGGAGGCATCGATCCCACGTTGGCTTTCTGTGGCGATGGCTCCGCACCGCGCCAGGTGACGGATGAAGACGTAATCCTGTGCTCTGATGGATGGCAGCGTGGCAGAGAGACAATTCTTCACTGCACCATTACCCAACTCCCGCGTCTTGACAGCCTGCCTGAGCACATCCACGCTCGGTGTCTCCCCGAGACGTGCTCTCATTCAACCACAATTTATTTGGCCTGCTGCAAGGCATGGGCACACAGCGAAATCCAACAGCCAGGACTCCGGAGGAGGCCAGATTAGAAACAACCCCATCTCTTCAGCCTTATAACTATTCGTTTAGCTACTAGAAATACCCAACTCTGCTGGAAACACTGGGGCAAGGGGCCCAGACCACAAAGGGATTCAGAATTGCTAAGAATTAGGTGTCCAAAACCCTCCGAATCGGTGCGAGGCTGCCAGCTCTCTGAAGATGACTAACAAGTGGTCTATCAAACCGGCTTTAGGAGGGCCAATATGCATTTATGAGTGACACGGGTACACGTCCATTCCCCTCCAAAATCCGTATGCGTGTGACTGAATAAAGCAAATCCTTACTTTCTGGCAGACGTCCATGTGCTTTTTGAGCCCCACAACAGTTTTCCTGGTGATAACGCTGCAGGTTGGACAGGAGACTTCTCCCTTCTCGCTGATCTCTCGCTGCCACTGGTCCTCAGGGTTTGCTGGTGAGGAAGAGGAGGGAGGTGTTACACCCAGCTGCAGACAGCAACCTGCCCGGGCTGCTCAGCGGACGACGGCCCTGTCATAAGCTTTGGTTTGCTACGGTGAAAAGCACTCAGCTGGGAAAAGTTCCTGATGTTAAAACAAGAGAAATACTCTCTCGGGGATGGCCCAAGCCAGGCACAAACCACTCAGAGCTCTGCCTGCCCCACGCCTCCTGCAGCTGCCTGAGCAAACTGGGTCCCTGGGCCACTTTACGTGGAGTTACCCCACCTCTTGGTGCTTCATGGGGAAAAGGGGGTTCCCCTTTCCAACCCCGCTGGTATCCTGCACACTAAGAGTTAAACCACGATGGTGCCCTCAGCCATTTCATCTTGCCCCCGCGTGGAATAACTGCCCCCTGCCAAACCAAAACAATTAGCGGGAGTGAAACAAAGGTGAGCGAGCGTCTAGGCTCCATCCGGACGTGTGCCTGGAAAGCTTCCCTGGCACTCCTCTTCCCGGCAGACACACAGGCAGCCACAGGAGTGCTAGCTTCCAGGCATCTGTTTATTTGAATGGCTGCGACCGGCTTGAAAAACACCCGAAATAAGAAATACGTGGGGCCAAAAACCTGCTCCCAGGTCCAGAGTTCATGCCGTGTTCTCAGCAGAACAGCGCTGGGCTTCCAGCAAGGGAAGCTCAGTCTGAATAAAATCCGCCAAGTCTGTTTATTTGGATGCTTTTGCGCGGCTGTGAGATCAGAGAGTGGTTTATTTGAATTTGAAAGCAGTGTAAGGCGTTGCAGCTGTGTTTATCTTGCACATCCTGCATTCCTCCTGCTGTCAGAGCTCCCGAGGAAAGGCAGCAACCTGTGCTGGGGTGTAGGCTGCACCTCGGAGGAGAGATAATTACACCCAGAGTTATGCACTGGCGTCGTTCACGGAGATGGTGTTAGAAAAACGCCATCATCCCAGACACTGACCCAAACTGCGGTTACGCTGAAGCCAGGTGGAACCAGAATTTGGCTACCATGTCCCCACACTCACAGCAGTCTGCCCTGGCAGTGAAATGAAGGTAGGGTACCGTTTTTGGGATGTCAATTGTGGCTACACCAGTGTTTTTGGAGCAGTGGCTGTTGCCACGTGTGATAAACCTCAAAAGGACAGGAGCTGCGTGCTCCTACTTTTGATTTTGGGCTGCTTTTGCTCACAAATCTACTAGAAAACTCACCCAGCCAACAGCCCGCGGGGCCAGGAGGAGTGTGGGGACCACTAGCTGTGGGTGAAGGTGGAGACCATGATGTGGTGTGAAGGTGGGGACTGGGGTGGCTTGGAACAGAGCACGGGACTGAGCTGATGCTCAGCTAAGCTACAAGCAGAGCTTCTGCCTGTGCTTTGCCTCCAGCAGCCTCACCTGCCGGTGGATGCGCAGCCGTTTCCTTCTTCACACCAGCTCCTGGGGGTTTCTTTTTCAGCTCCTCCGTGTTGGTGCTCCCCTCCAGCTTCTTGGCTCGATGGGCTTTTGCTTTGTCCTCTGCTTTGACGAGACCTGTAGAGGAATGGGATTTTTATTCAGTACTTGCTTTAATACCCTCAGACCAACTTAGGAGACCATGATGTGGCGTGAAGGTGGGGACTGTGGTGGCTCGGAGCAGAGCACGGGACTGAGCTGATGCTCAGCTAAGCTACAAGCAGAGCTTCTGCCTGTGCTTTGCCTCCAGCAGCCTCACCTGCCGGTGGATGCGCAGCCGTTTCCTTCTTCACACCAGCTCCTGGGGGTTTCTTTTTCAGCTCCTCCGTGTTGGTGCTCCCCTCCAGCTTCTTGGCTCGATGGGCTTTTGCTTTGTCCTCTGCTTTGACGAGACCTGTAGAGGAATGGGATTTTTATTCAGTACTTGCTTTAATACCCTCAGACCAACTTGCATTTAGCAGGTAAAAAGTCTCTACCTCTGACCTGAGTTGGCTGTGGATCTGCCAAGGCTGTATATGTAGGATCAAGTCCGTAATTATGACAAGCAATATCATAACAGCTTGTGGTATTTTGTAAACAGAATAATTTCCCCCAACCCAGACAGTTTCTGAACTAGAGAAACACCACAGCAAAGCCCCTGTAGAGGAATGGGATTTTTATTCAGTACTTGCTTTAATACCCTCAGACCAACTTAGCAGGTAAAAAGTCTCTACCTCTGACCCGACTTGGCTGTGGATCTGCCAAGGCTGTATATGTAGGATCAAGTCCGTAATTATGACAAGCAATATCATAACAGCTTGTGGTATTTTGTAAACAGAATAATTTCCCCCAACCCAGACAGTTTCTGAACTAGAGAAACACCACAGCAAAGCGAGTTAAGGGTGCTTCTAGCAAGGCAGACTGCGGGGAAGACAGGCTGGGGAGGAGGCAAAAGGCGGGTAGGGTGCTTCTAGCAAGGCAGACTGTGGGGAAGACAGGCTGGGGAGGAGGCAAAAGGGCATTTTTCAAGAAATTAAAAGGGGAAATCGGAGCAGCAAATTCAGGATGGAAAAGTGATGGTCCTGCTGATGAACTCACACTGGAAATGCTGTCTAACTGCTTAGTCCAAGGAACTGGGGACCCTCTCAGAAAGCAGAGCAATTTCTGGGATCTCATACCAGATCCCACAGGACTTTTTGTCCTTGGACATGTAGACAATTGTCACAATAAACATAGGTCTCTCCTGGTCCCGCTGGGTGCTGGAAAGGGTCAGGAACAAACAGGAGAGGAAGGGTGACGGGGCGACAGGCACACGGGGAAGAGGAAACCTGGCGCAGCCCCCCTGGGTCGTTGGTGACTGTCCCCAAGCCTGCCTGGGAAGTGGAGAGGAACTCAAATGCAGGGCTCTCAGCCAGCATCTCCCGAGTGCATCCACCTTGTCTGTGCCTCATCCCTACAAGGGCAAAGCCTGTGCTTCCCATTCAGCCTGCTCAAGCCATCCCTGCCAGCCAGGGAAGCATCCTCCCTGTGCCGAGCAGGGCCGAGCGGGCAGGAGGAGCCTCAGCACATGCTGAGGACATGCCAGCAGCAGCAGCACTGCCCGATTCCCCTCTGCTGCACAGAATCCCTCGGCAGATCAAACACAACTTCCAGAAGATGCTTTGGAAAGGCTGGTGAAGAGAGAAGGGAGGCTCCCCCCTGGGTCCAGCCCTCCAAATCCCTGTGCCTGCGCTTCCACAGAAGGTGCTGGAGGCAACACGGTGAGTGCCAGGGTCAGATCCGCACCCACCCGGCAAAGGTCCACGTGTCCCTGAATTTGTGGGTCATGGCTCTTGCAAACCCAGGGTCTGAATGGAGACAGCACCCCACGACAGGCTGGTGGCACCCTTGTCCTTGGGGAGCGAACTGCCGTGTTGAACCCGGGGGATGCTGGCAAACACCTGCCCCATCTTCACGCTCCATTGGAGGCAGTGGGTCACAGAGGGGACCAGCTTATTCTTGAGGAACCCACAGCAGACTTTTCAGTCTATGGCAGTACCTCTGTGGGGAAGTTAAGTGAAACAACCCCAGACTTCCCAGGAACCAGGGGACAGGAAATCACAGAGGCCGCATCCAACCTGCTCTTTGGTAAGTGTTTAATTCCTTCAAAGCCATTAGTGCCTCTCCCCTGAGTGCCTCTTGTACTGGAAGGTGCTGCCTCCTGCAGTGCCTGGAAATCCACTTTTTATTTCCCTGGTTGAACAAATTTCACGGCCAGCCCGAATCCAGCTGCTCTCGTGCCAGGGATGCTCCAGGGTTCCTCCCTCCTCTCCAGCCCAGCCAGGTGTACTTAGGGAGCATGACCACCGTCCCACTCGCTCTCACTTAGTCACGCTGAGACAGCCAACTCCTGAGCCTCCTCTCAGAAAACATCCCAGTAACACGTCTCTTCCCCCTGGAATTCATCTTGCACGTGGGCGACCAGCACTGGAGACAATGTCGGAGGGACGGATGCGTCACCCAGCCTTTCCACGCAGCAGAAATCCTTCTCGACGCCATTGGAAACGCTGTGACGTCCCAGCACAGTGGGATGATGATGAGATGATGTTTCTCACGTCTCACTTGTGTCAGCAGCTCGTTACCCTTGTGTTGGAGTTGGACATACCCAGATCCTTTCCTCTCTTCCCTCATTTCCCAACGCCAGGACCCCACACAGAGCAGACAGGGTTGTTATCAGTGCCAGCTCTGCTGCTGCCCTTCATCTCCCCTATGATGCTCTTTACCAGCTCCTCCAGTGTGATATCCCCAGGCTCCAGGTGGTCATGTATCTCCACCACAGGGAAGGTTCTTGGGGAAGGGGCTTTCCCAAAATGCCCCAGGGGGAAGCTATAACCCTACAGCTACCCCACACAGAGCAGACAGGGTTGTTATCAGTGCCAGCTCTGCTGCTGCCCTTCATCTCCCCTATGATGCTCTTTACCAGCTCCTCCAGTGTGATATCCCCAGGCTCCAGGTGGTCCTGTATCTGCGCCACAGGGAAGGCTCTTTGGGAAGGGGCTTCCCCAAATTGCCCCAGGGGGAAGCTATAACCCTACAGCCAACCAGAGTGTTCCCCATATTACCTTTCAGTCCAAACGTCCCCGAGATGGACGGCTGCTCCCCGGTAAATTTCTTAGGAGTTTTCTGTTTCCTTCCTGACTCAAAAGAGAGAAACAGAGAGAGAGATTTGGTCAAATAACTGTACTGCCAGGGGGGCTTCAGCAGTCCCAGGGCATGGGGTGGGCACACACTCCATGTCAGCAGTGGATCACCTTGAGGAGGCCTTTACCACTGTGAAATACAGGGGCTGTCAAAGGAAGCACCCACCCCCCTGGTCACAGGATGCTGCTTCCCACCCCACAAAACCAGGAGAAATAATGGTATCCGGGGCTAATTCAAGGAGTGGAAGTGGGGGCTGTATCTAGGGCCAAAAGCCACGTGGCTCCCAGCAGAGTCCGTAATTATGACAAGCAATATCATAACAGCTTGTGGTATTTTGTAAACAGAATAATTTCCCCCAACCCAGACAGTTTCTGAACTAGAGAAACACCACAGCAAAGCGAGTTAAGGGTGCTTCTAGCAAGGCAGACTGCGGGGAAGACAGGCTGGGGAGGAGGCAAAAGGGCATTTTTCAAGAAATTAAAAGGGGAAATCGGAGCAGCAAATTCAGGATGGAAAAGTGATGGTCCTGCTGATGAACTCACACTGGAAATGCTGTCTAACTGCTTAGTCCAAGGAACTGGGGTCCCTCTCAGGAAAAAGGGCAAATTCTGGGATCTCATACCAGATCCCACAGGACTTTTTGTCCTTGGACATGTAGACAATTGTCACAATAAACAGGTCTCTCCTGGTCCCGCTGGGTGCTGGAAAGGGTCAGGAACAAACAGGAGAGGAAGGGTGACGGGGCGACAGGCACACGGGGAAGAGGAAACCTGGCGCAGCCCCCCTGGGTCGTTGGTGACTGTCCCCAGGCCTGCCTGGGAAGAGGAGAGGAACTCAAATGCAGGGCTCTCAGCCAGCATCTCCCGAGTGCATCCACCTTGTCTGTGCCTCATCCCTACACGGGCAAAGCCTGTGCTTCCCGTTCAGCCTGCTCAAGCCATCCCTGCCAGCCAGGGAAGCATCCTCCCTGTGCCGAGCAGGGCCGAGCGGGCAGGAGGAGCCTCAGCACATGCTGAGGACATGCCAGCAGCAGCAGCACTGCCCGATTCCCCTCTGCTGCACAGAATCCCTCGGCAGATCAAACACAACTTCCAGAAGATGCTTTGGAAAGGCTGGTGAAGAGAGAAGGGAGGCTCCCCCCTGGGTCCAGCCCTCCAAATCCCTGTGCCTGCGCTTCCACAGAAGGTGCTGGAGGCAACACGGTGAGTGCCAGGGTCAGATCCGCACCCACCCGGCAAAGGTCCACGTGTCCCTGAATTTGTGGGTCATGGCTCTTGCAAACCCAGGGTCTGAATGGAGACAGCACCCCACGACAGGCTGGTGGCACCCTTGTCCTTGGGGAGCGAACTGCCGTGTTGAACCCGGGGGATGCTGGCAAACACCTGCCCCATCTTCACGCTCCATTGGAGGCAGTGGGTCACAGAGGGGACCAGCTTATTCTTGAGGAACCCACAGCAGACTTTTCAGTCTATGGCAGTACCTCTGTGGGGAAGTTAAGTGAAACAACCCCAGACTTCCCAGGAACCAGGGGACAGGAAATCACAGAGGCCGCATCCAACCTGCTCTTTGGTAAGTGTTTAATTCCTTCAAAGCCATTAGTGCCTCTCCCCTGAGTGCCTCTTGTACTGGAAGGTGCTGCCTCCTGCAGTGCCTGGAAATCCACTTTTTATTTCCCTGGTTGAACAAATTTCACGGCCAGCCCGAATCCAGCTGCTCTCGTGCCAGGGATGCTCCAGGGTTCCTCCCTCCTCTCCAGCCCAGCCAGGTGTACTTAGGGAGCATGACCACCGTCCCACTCGCTCTCACTTAGTCACGCTGAGACAGCCAACTCCTGAGCCTCCTCTCAGAAAACATCCCAGTAACACGTCTCTTCCCCCTGGAATTCATCTTCTTGCACGTGGGCGACCAGCACTGGAGACAATGTTGGAGGGATGGATGTGTCACCCAGCCTTTCCACGCAGCAGAAATCCTTCTCGACGCCATTGGAAACGCTGTGACGTCCCAGCACAGTGGGATGATGATGAGATGATGTTTCTCACGTCTCACTTGTGTCAGCAGCTCGTTACCCTTGTGTTGGAGTTGGACATACCCAGATCCTTTCCTCTCTTCCCTCATTTCCCAACGCCAGGACCCCACACAGAGCAGACAGGGTTGTTATCAGTGCCAGCTCTGCTGCTGCCCTTCATCCCCTCTACGACGCTCTTTATCAGCTCCTCCAGTGTGACATCCCCAGGCTCCAGGTGGTCATGTATCTGCACCACAGGGAAGGCTCTTGGGGAAGGGGCTTCCCCAAATTGCCCCAGGGGGAAGCTATAACCCTACAGCCAACCAGAGTGTTCCCCATATTACCTTTCAGTCCAAACGTCCCCGAGATGGACGGCTGCTCCCCGGTAAATTTCTTAGGAGTTTTCTGTTTCCTTCCTGACTCAAAAGAGAGAAACAGAGAGAGAGATTTGGTCAAATAACTGTACTGCCAGGGGGGCTTCAGCAGTCCCAGGGCATGGGGTGGGCACACACTCCATGTCAGCAGTGGATCACCTTGAAGAGGCCTTTACCACTGTGAAATAAAGGGGCTGCCAAAGGAAGCACCCACCCCCCGGTCACAGGATGCTGCTTCCCACCCCACAAAACCAGGAGAAATAATGGTATCCGGGGCTAATTCAAGGAGTGGAAGTGGGGGCTGTATCTAGGGCCAAAAGCCACGTGGCTCCCAGCAGCCTCAGCAGCCGGAGTGGCTGGTGGTGGTTCACTGGTGCTGCAAGCAGTGTAAATCCATGCCATGACAGGGACAACCATCCTTGCCAGCCCTGCAGCGGTAACGGGCAGAATGAGCCTCCTTACCCTGTCCCAATACTTCAGGAAAATGGCTTTGCCAGAACCATCCTGGTTTAAACTGCCACAGTCAAGTGAGGGCAGACAGGCTGACACAGCAGCTCGCTATGCTGCGGGGAATTCAATCTGTTTCCAATCCTATATCCTATAGAAATACTCCCACCACAGCTACAACCAGATTGTAACTCCCCGTGGAACTCACTGCTGCAAGAAACTGGGGGGGGGTTCAAATTATCATGATGCTGAAACAAGGCTTGGGTACGTTCAGAGAGACACTTGCAGCAGCGTGGGCTGGAGCAGAGCCCCTTCCCACGGGACACCCCTCTCTGGGCTCCTGAACCAGCGTAACCCCGGGCTCTCATCTTACTGTGCTTCATCCTCTCGGGGTCTTCCTCCTGCAGGGAGGCCTGGCTGCCCCCCTGCTGCACGGTGTCCTTGCCACTGGAGGATTTTGCCGTGGGGGTGGCGGCTGCCATGGCCTCGGCCGCTGCGATCTGAAACTCCTTGCTCTCCCGGCTCTCCGCCGGGCACTCGCCGTTCTCGGCGTGGTCCTGGGCCACGGCTTTTTCCGTCTTTGCCTGTTTGGGATGGATGGTGGGGCAAGCTGAACTCTCAGCAGCTCTAGGGCAAAGCACAGAGGGCTTGTTTAAAGAGGGGTTGTTAGACAAATGTCCTGACACCTCTCCCCCCTCGCCAGCCCAGATGATGGGAATGGAGGCAGGCACGTTCCCCTTCTCCCAGCCATCCCTACGCCGCCACTACCACACAGCCCAGCCACAGCCTGATACCTTTTCTTGCCACTACTCTTCCCAATGGCCTTTGGCACTTTGTTTTCCGCTTTGCTGGTTGGCACTGGCCGGTCCAAGTGATTCCAGAGCCGATGCTTTTCGAGCTGGGTTTTGGAGGTGAAGGCAGCTTCGCAGTACGAGCACGAATACGTCAGCTTCTCTGAGATCGCACCCTGTGTGGGGGTAGAGAGGTGAGCACGGGCATCAGACCATACAAGGGAAAGGCTTTTTTTTGATGCAGGCACAAACACAAATCATGTGTAATCCCCTTCTGCCCCTCCAAACAGTTAGGAACGGTCTGTGATCCCCCTAGACTAGTTCTCACACTGAACTGAAGGGACACCAGTCCCTCTCATACACACCTCCCAAACTGCCCCTGGCCCATCTGTGCCCTCTCCATTTTAATCTCACATTTTCTCGTGGGATTTAAGGCCCAAGAGGGGCTTTACCCTGTAGATGGCAATGCAAGAGCTGGCCACAGGAAAGGACAGACAGCCCTCTGGTCTCCTTACCCCTTGGCAGCGCTGATAGTGGTACTTCAAGCCATAGATGCTGGGGAACTCCAGCCAGCAGCCTGAATTGGGACATTTCACCCTGGAGTGGGCTTTGAATTCGTCCTTCCACTGGTTCATCAGGGGGAGCTGGCAACAGGAGAGACAAGAGACATAGCTAAGTGAAGAGCATCTCATGTCCAGGTGCCAGTGCATCCTGAGGGGTTGGGGGTGGGCACAGGGGACCTCTGATCATTCCTGTCCACCCCTTCCCACCGCGCAGCTGCAAAGTGGACCCCAGGGCTGTGTTTCAGCACACTATTATTCTGCAAGATGTGCTGGGATGGATGCCTCTACAGGCTAAGGATTCCTCCCGAGACTTTACCTTGCTGTGCCTCCCAGAGCACACACATGCTCCCAGCCAGGCTGGGCAATAAATCAGGCCAGAAATCGCCCGGGTGATTTAACCACCCCACATTTCATCTAGTCAGTAAATCACCCCATGCCCCTGCTCTCGTGACAAACTGCTCTGTGTGTTGTCCATGCCACTGTGCTGGAATTAAAGTGCACAACTCTGCGGGGAATAAATCACCCCCTCACCAGCGCTGCCGGATCATTAGCCAAACCTGACGTGGCTGCAAGAGAATCCAGCTCATCTGGGAACAGCCCCGGGAAGGGGAGGCTGGAGGGGGGTACTGTTCCCCACCAGGGTTTTGGAGGATGCTGGATGCTAGCATGGAGGGGATTCAGGGACCAAGATCTTCCCGATCCCAAGACAAAGCTGCTCTGAAGATTAAACCACCAGGAAGGCAGGTGGAATGGGGCTGGCTGGAGTGCTCGGCGCGGCAAGATGTGGAGGGCAAGTCAAAAGGAGCAAGGCAGGGAGGGGATGGGGGGTCAGAGAGCACGGGGTCTTACAGGGATGTCTTTCAGTGCCTGGTTCTCAGCCTTGGGTCGTCCTTTCTTTCTGCCTTCGGTTTTGTCACTGGTTGCATTTCCTGCGAAGAGATGCAGCACATGTCTGACTCTGCTCAGCCAGCCGCGCCGGAGGAACCGCTGTCCCAACAATCCCACTGCCCAGCTGGTTCCCTTGCTCTGCTTGGGGTCCACCTTGGGTCTGGGCTGCCCAGGCAAAGCCAGAGGTTCCCCTTTGGGAGGTAATTCCAGCTCCCTGCACATCAGTGCCCAGCCCCTACGCTTGCAGACACCTGCCTGGGAGATGGCTGCTTCTCCTGGTGTTTGCTGACCCCTCTCCTTCCATTTACACAAAGGAGTTTCAGCACAGCCAAGGCTTGCTTTGGAAAACCATCCTTTCATTTGGGTTGGAAGAAATCCTTCAACAACTATGCTACTTAGCAAAAGAAATCTGTGTCCAGGTCAGCACGCTGGGCCCTGGGCAGGTTGTCGCGGACAGAAAAGCTCCATCCCCTTCTCCTGCATCCCAGTGTGGCTGAGCAGCCCCAGGGCTGGAGGACACTAGCCCAGGGGATGTGACAAGCACATGAAGAGCAGCAGGGATGGGGATGGCTCCAGACCAGACACTTTGGCTCACAACGACCCCAAACTCCTTGATTTCATACCCAAAATGGATTAAGCAAAGCAGTACAAACATCCCAACTTTCACCAGGGTTTGCACGCAGGGGCTGAGGGCAGTTCAAATCAATCCACTTTCACATCCAACTTTTAATCTCTCCAAGCAGGAACAGAGCACCCTGGTCACCTCACAGGTCTGGGGAGCCTTGCGAGATCCCTCTTCCTTCACCCAGGGCTGTCCCCCCCTGGCTCTGAGCTCCTGGAAAGCCTTAGGCTGCATTTTGAGGACTAAACTGTAACATTAAGTGATGCTGAGGGTCAGTGTAACCCAAAGATGAGCTGGACAGACACAAGTGGGAAATGTGATGTCCAGAAAGCTCAGGCTGAGATCTGGGAGGGCTTAATCAATAAACTGGGAATAAAAGCCATTTGCTATGAGAACAGAAACAAGCCAAAAAGCATCCCTGAGAAGGAAACCCCAGAACAGCTGGGAAAGGATAAATAAGATTAAAAAAAAAACTAAACTCAACCTGTAAAACACTCTTGTCTGGTGAAAATCAGGGAAGATTTTCCCAGATCAGCTGGAAGCTGAGCCGGCAATCCCTCCAGCTCCTGAGAAACCAGAGCTCAGCTCCAAGCCTGGCACTGGCTGGACTCGGAAGCCAATCCAGGATTTTTTTTGGAATAAGGGAGAGAGATCAAACGGAAAGCCAACCAGTTACCTACAAGGCACTGCCAAAACCACACACTCTCTCCCTTTTCACACCTTCTGCCCCAGAAGCCAGGGGTAAAACAGCAAACAAGACAGTTGGCTCATTTATTTCCAGTCCCCTGAAGCTATGCCAGCTGGTTTGCTCCACTTTGACACCTGTAAAAGCATCCCTTGGTGATGTAGCATCCTTTGGGAATCCCCTGAGCCCAGAAGGCCTCGTCTGCAGGAGGTGGTGACCTTTATGCTCTATAAAAAGTCCCTAAAATGCCACTTACCCGCTCCCCCACCCTGCCAGGCAGCCTCTAAGCTGTCCTCAAACCACCCTGTTCAGTTTGGACTCCCACCTGCCTGACTCCTGCCCCAAAACACCTCGTGGCCCTCAGGACAGAGGAGGGTTTTGCAAGCACAGCCCCAAACCGTGCTGGTTCTGGAGCAACAGCTCAGGCTTCGTTTCAAAATTCGCAGTGAGTGCCCGAGAAGGATGTCTCTCTGCATTTTGTACTTTCTTCAAAGCTCCTAAGTGCACACTTAGAACAGAGATTTCCTCCACACTCGTGTAAGTGAGGGCCTCACCCTACACATCACACAGAGCTATGTTTCTTGCACATCAATGGGACTCCACGAGCTGGGAGTTTATGAAAAAAACATCAAATTAAACAGGATGTGCAGCAAAAGCTCACAACACGGCAGTCACCTGCTTATTGCTCTCCTTGTTCTCTCTTTCTCTCTTAAACACTTCCAAATATTCCAAATTTGAAATGTTCTATAGCAGCTCCTCCCTGCCCCTCCAGGCAGCCTCGCATGTCTGGGGACATGGCTTGTGCAGAAGCTTGAGTGAAGCTTCCACTCCTCTCCTTTTCACCACTGATGTTTCATGCCGAACACCAGAGCTCCCAGTTTAGCCGCCCCTCATTGCCCTTCGTTGATCAGCTGCTGGCTGGGGACAGCAAGGACAGGGATGGGAAGAGCAGAAAACACATCTCCTCTCCCAACATCCCGCTCCTGGTTACCCACCACCAGCTGGTGCTAAACCCTGACCCTTCCAGGTGCTCACAGGGGACAAGAACCTGTTGGTGCCCACTGTTGTGGCTGGCACCGTGGTTCCATGTTCCTGCAGCAGGTTACCGAGTCAAAAGAGTGGAAACATCATGATCTTTAGAAACAGGGACTGAGGATGGCCTTCCCATGGACATGAAGCTTCTCTGGACCAAGATCTGCCTTGGAAAGGATGCTCCCTGCCCCAACCAGGCTGCTCAATCCGAGGAGGGGCCTCTGTCTCCCCAGTCCACATCAAGCCTAATTCACCCCGATGAAGTGAACCCTGGCAGATATTTCCACCTCCAGCACTTTCCTAGGTCTGGACCAAGATCTGCCTTGGAAAGGATGCTCCCTGCCCCAACCAGGCTGCTCAATCCCAGGAGGGGCCAACAAAGTGACTGCAGGAAAGGCCTCTGTCTCCCCAGTCCACATCAAGCCTAAGTCACCCCGATGAAGTGAACCCTGGCAGATATTTCCACCTCCACCACTTTCCTAGGGAGAGCAATGAAATATCTTCATCACAGAGTGTCCTTCACTCCATCGCTTTCAGTCCACCTAAACCAGAAGGAAGGGCTAAAAAAAAAAAAAGGGGGCTTTTCTACTTTTGAAGGTGCTCATAAAACATGGTGCAGGGAGAAATGCTCTCCCTAATTCACCCCGATGAAGTGAACCCTGGCAGATATTTCCACCTCCAGCACTTTCCTAGGGAGAGCAATGAAATATCTTCATCACGGAGTGTCCTTCACTCCATCGCTTTCAGTCCATCTAAACCAGAAAGACGGGCTAAAAAAAAAAACAAAAAGTGGCTTTTCTA